TGACTGAGGTACGCAACCCAGCCATATCCTGCTCCAAAGCTGTCATACGAGTGCTCTGGCATGGTTGTGATAGGCCTGCCACATCAACTCTCGGAGGAGGGGGAACCGCAGCTACCTCAGCATCATCATCATCATCATCATCATCAGCTGAATCATCATTAGATTCATCAACATTCATCACCGGCTCTCGTCCAATTCCAATTTTTCTCGCCCGGAATGGGGCTTTTAGTGGCAATCTCCCATCAACCCGAGGGTCTTCAGGAACTCTAGCAATATGACACAGTCGGGTGATCAGTGAAGGGAAGTAGTGGCCCTTGGTTAGCTTCGGTGATCTAATGAACATCTCTTCATGGATGAGCCGGGCCACATCAAAATCATTGTGGGACATGAAATAGTGGATTGCGAATGCCCGCGGTAGATTAACATCAGTCGTGTTTCTGGATAGCAACAATCGACTGTTGATAATGGTTAGCCAACACTTAGTCTCCCAATTCAGACAGTGGGAGTTGAGAGTAATCTTGTGCTTGATCTATAAGTGTTCTTCGTCTGGCACACAGATAGTATCAAGAAGAGTTCCCCACAAGGTCCGTGTATTGCTAAAAGTTTGATAAGGTTCAAATTTACCCCGAAACACTGGCAGCCTGTATACCCTGCGGATGGTGTCGAGGGATGCGTTTACTGGGATATTGCGCACCGTCACAATCCCATTCTCATGTTCTAGCAAGTTTGCATAGAACTCCCTTACTAGTTGAACATCAGCCTCCTCTAGTACCTCGAAGAAAATGTCCATCTGACACCGCCTCAGCTCATTAAACATATTAGGGCATTCCATCTCCAAAGTCGTGCGATCAATGTGCACCCCATGTTGCAACTTCTTAGCTGCTTTCTGGTTGTACCTATCCTCTGCTGCTCTGGATACAAACCGAGTGCTATCAAACTAAGGTGCACTGGCTTGGCTCCTAGCTCGTGAGGAGCCTCCCGGTCTACTAGTGGAGGGCCCAGTGTTTCGTCTCTTTCTAGCTAAACTCATCGCACCTGTCAAATAACAAAACGCCTATTAGTGAGTGCGCAAAATATGTGACTATGGATGGTTACTCAAATTTCACCATAACCATGTCACAATAGCTCCTTATATCTCCATTGGGGCAATTTCCCAAATACCTTGTGGGCGGGGCATTATCCAAACACATTTAGCCCTCATGAATCTATCAAAACTCCTCCCAAATCAAGTATACAACTACACCAATACACTCCACACTTGTGTCATTCAATCACCCACCAACAAACACCGTTCCAAACATAAATTACACAGCCCCTTTACCAAACATTCTCATAAACGAAATTAAAATAGGAAAAACAAGGAGAAGAAACTACAAAAAAAAAATCTACTACAATTACAACACCATATCAACCTCAAAATATCATAAACAACAACAAAATACAAAAAGAAAAGATAATTGAGGGTTAGAATCATACCTTAAGGGAGGAAAGAGGAGAGGAATGGAGATGTGGGTGTAGTGTGAGTGAAGAAGAAGAAGAGGAGGAGAGGAATTGGGGAAGTTAGTGTTTAGAGAGAGAGAGATGGAGAAATTTGGGGGAGGGGGATCAGTAATCTAAGGTTAGGAGGGGAGTGGGTTTGGGTTTTAAAATTAAAAGAAGAAGAAAAGAAAAAAACAGAAAAAGAACGGAAAAAATTAAAAAAATTCAAAATAACCGGTACCCCCGCGGTCGACCGCAGTGGGTTTTAAAAAATTGAGGCAGAATGTTTACATCTCACCGCGGTCCACCGCGGTCGCGGTGGGATGAAAAATTCGTGCAGAATGTTTGCCTTCCACCGCGGTTGCGGTGCTGGCACTATTTTTTAATGAACATACTAACAACAACACTCGTGGGTTGCGTCTCACGCAGCGCCTGATTTAACGTCGCAGCATAACGCAAGTATTTGATCATTACTCCTTATCCACGTACTGGGGATCTCCCAAAGTGATTACCACTCTCTCCCCTTTTTCTTCAGCCATTCCAAGGTAATGTTTCAACCTTTGCCCATTTACTGTGAACTTGTTTGTCCCATCTTCTGATTCAATCTCTACCACTCCACTTAAGAACAATTGCACCACTCTGAAGGGTCCTGACCATCGAGACTTTAAATTACCTGGGAACAATCTCAATCTCGAGTTGTATAACAACACTAGATCTCCGGGTTTGAAGTTTCGATCCAAGATGTGCTTATCATGCATTAATTTCATCATTTCTTTGTATAATCTATCACTCTCAAAGGCCTGGAACCTGAATTCCTCTAGCTCATGTAATCCAGTGACTCTGTTAGTACCTGTTGTCTCTATGTCTAAGTTCAACTGCCGCAATGCCCAAAGTGCATTATGCTCTAACTCAACTGGGAGGTGACATGCCTTGCCAAACACCAACTTGTACGGTGACATACCAATTGGGGTTTTGAAGGCTGTGTGGTACACCCACAATGCTTCATCCAACTTCTTTGCCCAGTCAGTCCTTGTTGCATTCACTATTTTTGTGAGGACACTTTTAATCTCCTGTTGGACACTTCAACTTGTCCGCTCGATTGTGGGTGGTACCGGGTGGTCACTTTATGACGAACTTCATATTTTTTCAATAGTCGTGTGAATGCTCTATTGCAGAAATGAGTTCTGCTATCACTGAGTATAGCTCTTGGGGTACCAAAACATGTGAAAATGTTCTTCTTTAGAAAGCCTAGTACCCTTTTAGCATCATTGGTCGGAATAACCACTGCTTCGACCTATTTGGAGACATAGTCAACTGCTACCAATATGTACTTGTTACCATACGAGCTGACGAATGACCCCATGAAGCCAATCCCCCACATGTCAAAAATCTCCACCACTTGAATTGTGGTCATTGGCATCTCGTTTCTACGAGATATGTTGCCAGTACTTTGGCAATCATTGCAGCTTTTAACACAAGCATGGGCATCCTTGAACAGAGTAGGCCAGTACAAGCCTGATTCCAATACCTTAGCTGTTGTCTGAATTCCTCCAAAGTGTCCACCATATGGTGAAGCATGGCAAGTCTGCAAAACAGAATGCTGATCTTTCTCGGGGATACAACATCGCATCATGTTATCTACACATATTTTAAACAATAGAGGTTCATCCCAATAATAATACCGACAATCACGAAAGAACTTTTTCTTTTGAATTGAGGAGAGTTCATAAAGTACAATACCACTTGCTAAATAATTAGCAATATCAGCATACCAAGGTGCCTCCTCCATTATCATTACCAGTAACTGTTCATCCGGGAATGTCTCTGTTATATCCTCAACCTATACCTTCTTTTCAGCTCCTTCCAACCTTGAGAGGTGGTCAGCTACTTGGTTCTCTGTCCCTTTTCGGTCACGTATTTCCAGATCGAATTCTTGTAACAGAAGAACCCAGCGAATCAAGCGTGGCTTTGACTCCTTCTTTTCTATCAGGTACCTAATTGTTGCATGGTTAATGTAAACAATAACTTTCTATCCAATCAAGTATGACCTAAATTTGTCAAATGCAAAAACAACAGCCAACATTTCCTTTTCCATCACGATGTAATTGAGTTGTGCACCGCTTAGCGTTCTGCTTGCATAGTAAATTGGGTGCATCAGTTTATCCTTTTGCTTCCCCAAGACTGCTCCTATGGCATAGTCACTTGCGTCGCACATGAGCTCAAATGGCTACTCCCAGTTGGGTGCAACAATGATGGGTGCAGTCACCAATCGCTTCTTCAGCTCCTCAAATGCCAACCTGCATTCATTAGAAAACACAAAGGGGGAATCCTTTTCAAGGAGTTTGCGTAATCAGTTAGCAATTTTGGAGAAATCTTTTATGAATCACTTGTGGAACCCAGCGTGCCCAAGGAAACTTCTCACCACCTTGACTGAAGTGGGCGGTGGTAGTTCTTTAATCACGTCAACCTTAGCATGGTCGACCTCAATTCCTTTATTGGACACTCGATGTCCAAGGACTATCCCTTCCTGTACCATAAAGTGGCACTTCTCCCAGTTCAACACTAAATTTGTCTCCACACATCTTTTGAGCACTCTTCTTAAGTTGTGAAGATAGTCCTCGAATGAATCTCCCACCACAGAGAAATCATCCATAAATACCTCCATAATATCTTCCACCATGTCTATGAAAATGGCTAACATGCACCGTTGAAATGTCGCCGGTGCATTGCAAAGCCCAAAAGTCATTGTCCGAAAGGCGAAGATGCCATACAGACAAGTGAAGGATGTTTTGTCTCTATCTTCGGGGACTATTGATACCTGATTGTACCCCGAATATCCATCTAAGAAATAGAAGTGTCATCGCCCGGCCAGCCTGTCCAATATTTGGTCAATGAAAGGCAAGGGGAAATGGTCCTTCCGGGTGGATGTGTTCAATTTTTGGTAATCCATGCAAATTCGCCATCCCGTGACTGTACGAGTTGAGATCAACTCATTGTTCTCATTTTGTACAACAGTCATTCCCCCCTTTTTCGGCACACATTGGACATGGCTGACCCAATTGCTATTAGAGATGGGGAAGATGATTCCCGCATCTAACTATTTGATCACTTCCTTCTTTACTACCTCTTTCATGTTCGGGTTCAGCCTTCTTGGATGTTCTCTGGAAGGTTTGTGACCTTCTTCCAAGAGAATCTTGGGCATACAGAAGGCTGGGTTGATACCCTTTATATCTGTCATGGTCCAGCCAATGACAGTCTTACTTTCCTGCAGTACCTGTAAGAGCTATTCTACCTGCACATCTAGCAAACAGGATGATATAATAACAGGCAAAGTAGAATCAGGGCCTAAGAAAATGTACCTGAGGTGAGCTGGGAGCGGCTTCAGCTCCAGCTTGGGTGGTTCCTCTACTGATGGCTTTGCTGTAGGTGTAGCCCTTTTTTCTAAATCAAGGGACTCGAACTGAGGTTCTCTTTTCCAGAATCCTTGTCCTTCAAGTTCCATGACCCACTCAGCTAACCCTTCACCATCCATCTTCTAAATTTGTCAAACATGCCTCCAATGGATCTTTAGCAGTCAGGGTCACATCATCTTCTTGCAGGATCACATCCGCTGCCTCCACTAGAGAGCAATTAGCATATTCATTGGGTCTCCCCATAGATTGTTGAACATTGAATATGACTTCTTCATCATTCAGTCTCATTTTTAATTCCCTAGTCTCACAATCGATCAGTGCTCTCCGAGTGGCCAAAAATGGCCTACCTAAAATGATAGGTATCTCCTTATCTACCTGACCGTCCAGAATAACAAAGTCTGCAGGGAACACGAACTTCCCCACTTGTACCAACACATCATCAAGAATCCCAATAGGCCTTTTTATCGTGCGGTAAGCTAGCTGCAGCAGCATCAAAGTCGGTCTAGCTCTGCCAATGCCCAGTTTAGTGTATACAGCCAGAGGCATCAAATTTATGCTGGCTCCCAAATCACATAATGCCTTTGCAAAGGTGTAAATCCCAATCGTGCATGGAATAGTGAAGCTACCCAGGTCGGACATCTTTTGAGTCATCGGTCTGGTCACTACTGCGCTATAGGTCTGCGTCAAAGTCAATGTGGATAGGTCCTGAAAATCAAACTTCTGTGACATTAGGTCTTTCATCATCTTCGCATAACCTGGCATCCATCAAAGGACTATTCAACTGAATTTGACACAGCATCTCCATGAATTTCTTGTATTGATCTTCCTTCTTTTGTTTTACCAGTCTCTAAGGGAATGGTGAAAGTATCACCCTTTATGCACTGCTTGCTGGCTTCTCTCTGTTGGGGTTCTGTGGCATAAGAGGCACCACCTGTTTTGCATCTTGTTCATTTACCTTAGACTTACCCTTTTCATCTTGACCCTGTTCAACCACCACTTCAGTCAGATTTATTGGTTTATCTACCTCTAGTGAAATTGGAGTGGTTGGCGTAGTCTCTTTGCTGGCTTGTGCAACCTCCTGCTCTTTGTCTAAATCTCTCCCATTCCAGAGACTTACTTCCATCAGCTGATTCGGGTTTTGCTCCTTGGGGTTAATATTTATATCCGCTGGCAATGTTCCTTGAGGGCGGTTGTTTAAAGCCATAGACAACTGCCCCAACTGAGTTTCAATGTTCTTTATAGCTGAATCATGTACTGCCAACTTTTCTTGCATCTTACCATTTGTCCCAATGAGTTGCTGGAGTATCCCCCTGATCTCTACCATGTTATTATCTTGCTGCTGAAAGGTGGTTGATCTATCAAATATTGTTGGTTCTGCTGTAGGTAGCTCTGTTGTCTCTGGTGGTATGGCACCATTTGTCCTTGAGCTTGCATGACCCCAGGCTGAGGCATGTTGGATATGTATTGCTGATTTGGTGCCGGTCTCCACTGCTATCCTCCTTGTCTCTGACCCTCAAAGTTGTTAACATAATCCATATCTTCCCTTGCCCCTTGATTTTCACCTTCTCCGCTCCACGAACACACATAAGACTGATTAACACAGGGTGTACACAGTCCTCCATTTGTCGTGTCAACAATATGCACTTGTTTGGTACCCATCTCATCTATATTCTTTGTCAAAATACTCATCTGAGTCATGAGTGTGGCCATGTTCTCTGCATGTGAATTATTTGGGTCAAGAGGAACTGAATGCACTATGGGTGCCAGTGTTGTACCTCTAGTCATCCATCCCGAATTATGGGACATCTTGTGAAGAAGGACTTTGCACTTGATGAATGTCTTACTCAAAAATGCACCTCCAGCTGAAGCATCCACATTGGCCTTTAGATTGTCAGCTAACCCCATGTAGAATCTCTGGCCAAGCATCTGGTCTGGAATGCCATGGTGAGGACACTTCACCAGCATCCCTTTAAATCTTTCCCAAGTTTCTTGCAAGGCCTCAGTCGGCTGCTGCTTGTACTGCAATATTTCATCAATCTACCTTGCAGTCTTGTTGGGCGGGTAGAACTTATTCAGGAACTGCTTTACTAATTCCTCCCAGGTGATAATGGAATCTATTGGGAGCGAATTCAGTCAAGTCTGAGCTTCCCCAGTCACAGAGAACGGGAACACTAATAGCTTGATAGCTTCTGGGGTCACATTTGGCTGCCTTTGAGTCACACAAATTGACAGAAATTTTTTCAATGGTAAAACAAACAGTAAGCTAAAACAAAGATAATTCAATGGTAAAAAGGTCTAGGGCAGTGATTTCCCCAATTGCTAGTTTAGGTCTTGACTCTTCCTCTATAATCTCGCCGTAATACTTTATGAGGATTAAGAGTTATGGGTTATCGTAATTATCTCTCGATCAACTACAATAATTTACTAGAGCATTCTCTCGAACTACTCTAGCTGACAATAGTTATGCAACTCTAAATTATCCCACCAAAGTTTTGTTATCTCTAAACCCACTTTTAAGTTCAAGTAATGAATCTCTTCAATTATCCAAAAGTGGTGTTGTTCAACAACTATCTAACCTAATATTCTTTCTCAAGCAATATAAGGTAATTAGACACGATTAATCAAGGGCCCATTCAATTAATCACCATACAAAACGTAGTTGAACAATCATATCATAAATCCGGCTCGATTATAACAACTTGAGTCAAAACTTCAACCAACAATTGGTTCCATCAACCCTAGATAAGTGTTTAGCTACTCATAACAAAATAAGAGAGAACTACTAAATTGTTCATAATGTAAAATTGCAAGAATTAAAAAGGAGATAGAAAAACTCTAATGTTTGGTTGATCTTCTCACACTTGTTCTTCCTCCAAAAGTAATCTAAAACCAGCTTAGCTCCCAATCTTGGGCGAGTTTCTAAAGCATATAAGGGTTTTACAAAAGTTTCCCCGATTTTACACTTTGGTCCTCAAACTTTCCAGCAGCGTGAACAGTGCACCGCGGTCGCGGCCAACCGCGATCGACCGCGGTGAATGCTGACCTTTCTGCCTTACGTTGTTAATCTACCGCGGTTCACCGCGGTCGCGGTGGCCTTCTTGCCCAGACCATTTATGCTTCTTTGTGTTCGGGCACTTCTCGAGTGGGCGTTTTTCTTCACATTATCGCCTCCAAAACACTCCATGTTGCTTCCTCTCATATAATATTCCCTGCTAAACAAAAAAACACTATGTAGAGTATTTTGTTGGCAATTTATCTATAGAACAACAACAAAGTATGATCATATTAAGGTGTAAATATCAACTATATAGCCTACTATCAACACTACATTGATAGTGTAAATAATTTTCAAAATTATGAAGTATTATATTTTAACTCAGGTAACGGATAATTTGCTTTACTTTTCCGTTTATTAATTTCACTTTTTACATATGGTTACATATAGTAAAAGATATTTTAGCACTGTTTGTACAGGGGCAGAGCTAAAAAATTAAATGCTGATTTGGTCGAATCCGATAGTTTTTGTTCAAATAATGTATTTGTGTTAAAAATTCATTAGTATGTACAAATATAAAATTTAGTACCCAATATAAAAAAATTAGCTCTTATAATTTTTGTTTTAAAATTTAGAATACATAAAGTTGAAATTCTGGCTCCGCCTCTGCGCTGTACATAAAAGCTAAACTCCAATTGTATTCCAAAAATATTGTTATTACCAAGCTTTTATCATATTCAACGGCGCAATCTTGTGGCAGGTTCTTGGCAGACCCCTAAAACCAGGTACAGTCAAGATTAAAAACATTGAGAGGAAGAGAGATAACAAATAAGCAACTAATTAAATTATGATTCTTACATGTAATTTAACAATCTGTAAAACAACTCTTGTATATGTGGATAGCCCGAAATAGTTTCTCTGCATAAACTCATACAAATATTAGTATCAAACTTCAAAACACTGCAACCAAATTTCTAAGGAATCGAAGGGGGAAAAAGAAACTTACATATCAACAAAAGAAAAAAAAACAGAATAAAAAATGCATCTAACTCTAACACTTAGAGGAAGGAGATTGCTGAACTTGTCACAATTCAATATTGCAGCCAACCCTCCTGCTGAAGTTCCACTCAGAATGGCCTATCATGATTTTTTTTTTAAATTTGTTAGTTATGTAAAATAAAATAGAAATTAACTTAAATTTTTGGCCTCCCAAAAAGAATAGTCGATAAATGTATATATTATACATAACTAATAATGTACAATATTTGTATATTGATTAGGGACTGTATTTTTAGGTCGAGCAGCCAAATGTGTTAAAAGACCAAAATATATAAATAAAGCTAAGGGAGTACATTTTCAGCTTTGTACATTCCTTTAGCTAACAAATGTTGCACGATTGATTTGAAAATCTTTGCCCCTCTGTAGTGGAGATTTGTAGACTGGAAAAGTTTTAATATTTCTTGTTAGAAAATTCAATTATATTAATATGGACTTTATAGCAATAAGAGAGAACTTGTAAAATTGAACTTACTGGATCAACTTCTTGAACGTCACCTGTATAAGATGCCCCGTCACAGTACATAATCTTGAGTTTGTTCCAGTCATAGAAATCTAAAAATGGTGACATACATAATTTTCCTTTCCATTTCATTGTTTAAGAGAGCTAGACAATTTCTAATAAATAAAAAAAAATATTACCGGATTTAGTTCAGTGTCATTGCTCAAAATTCCTGTAAAAAAACTTGAGGAGGAATTTGTTTTGAAGATCCATAAACTTGTCCAGCACGAGTTAGGCAGTTTGAAGTGGTGTCACACCAGCCTCCTCCCTGAAAAATTCGGAGTTAGTTATAAAGACAACGTTTCTGCTACAACAGATTATTAAAATATATCGATAATAAAAAAAATATATTATAGTATAAATGTTAGAGGATTCTATAAGTTAAGTTAAAAGTCGTAGTTACGTTAGTTATGTTCAAGACGTATCTGCTATAACAAGCTAAAATGTACAAATAGTAAAAAAATATTTTACAATACAATGTTTTGGTGGATATTATAAGTTAAATAAATTATTTATAAAATAAAAAAAACGAAACTAGGAAACTGAGATTATGACTCTAACCTCAAGGTGAAGAAGCCAACTACGAACTCCTGCGCCAGTTCCTTGATAAAAGTTGAAAGCAGGTGCACTTCCATCTAAACATACTAGTATTAAAACGAGTTGTAATTGAAGTTTTTTTCTAGTGAAAAAATGCTCTCTGTCATGAACTCCCAAACCCATCAACTTACATCGTTGATTCCCCCCAAACCACCAGACATCAAGGTAAATTCACTACAAATTCATCAACAACAAATACCAAAAACAACATTCAAGGATATGCTAATATCCTCCGACCCTATGAGTTTCGCACCCATGCTGAATCAATCTAATGAATACCCCCTAGAATGCTCCTCAGAAGATAGAGGGAACTTGGAAGAGATGCTGGATGCTCCCTCGCAGGGGATCAGTAGGATCACTTTCACGGATGATGACAAAAGAAGAATCTATGAGCCTTGGAAAAATGTAGTCATTGTCAAATTGTTTGGGAAAAGGATGCTATACCAATACCTAAGACAAAAAATACAGGAACTTTGGAGACCAATGGAACAAATAAAACTAATTGACCTGGGTGAAGACTATTTCATTATCAAGTTTGTAAAAAGAGAGAACATGGACACAGCGCTACATCAAGGTCCATGGTTTGTGAATGGCCATTACCTATCAGTGGCTAAATGAAAACTGAATTTCGTGGTAACGAAAGAAAAACTAACAACCTCAGCTAGATGGATTCGATTGCCACAATTACCAACAGAATTTTATGATACAAAAACTGTGGAAAGAATTGGCAACTCTATAGGTCGTTTGCTAAAAATTGATGTGTGCACATCAACAACTATAAGGGGATGCTATGCACGATTATGTGTAGAAATTCCTTTGGAGCATCCAGTGCAACCCTACATTTATATTGGTACTCATAAGAAATCAATACATTACGAAGGAGAGAAGCTGTTTTGCACAATATGTGGAAGACTGGGCCACATTTCGACCCTATGCTCCTTTGCCCAGAAGCCCTCAAAATTGAAACACAACCCAGAAGCCTTAGAACATGACATAAATGAAGATAGCAAAGCAGGAGAATGGAAGGTTGTCAACTTCAACAAGAACAAGAGGCACCATGGGAAAATCGTTTCTTCCAACAAGGTTCTTCCTAAGGAACAACAAGAAGGCCCAGGTATCTCTGTAAATCTTTTCCATGCCAGCACAGGTAAGTTTCTTGACACCCAAGTTCTTCAATACAAACCTAAAGACACCACCAATTTACAATACTCCAAAGAGGAAATCATCTATAATAGGTCAATGCCAAACGATACCATGGTTCTGGTTCAAAGCCACTTTACCACCCTTGAACATGAGCAAATGGTTTTGGAAAATTATAAAAAAAATGATAATAAAAAATTCACTAAAAAATCCCATGCAAAGCCACACGTGGACATGTCAATCTCTCACTGCCAACTTGGACACATGCGTGTCCGACCCAAATAACAACGATAATTGTGACATGCAAATAGAGGGGGCTAACATCATTATTAACCCTACTATTAGCACTAATCTCATAGGGCAAGGCAAGGACCTAATAAGTGAAGCTAATCCTTACACTCCTAAAGAACAAACAAATACACAAAAGCTTCCTAAAAAATCTGAAAATACAAACACCCCTAAGCATGCAAGCCAAATGTCCACCATTGAATCTAACACACGAAAAATGGCCAACTCAACCAAACACGGCAAAGATACTACTCCATTTCACAACAAAACTATAAGTATCATAACTGACCATTCAAATTTCATGCAAGAAGACCTCCCAATCATTACCTCTATCACAAATAAAATTCCCCCCCTCGGAATCCCTTAACCTTCCACACTCCTTTCCACCTTTAAATAGTACATTGCCTATCCAAAATGCCAAGAATTCCAAACTCCCTCAGGAGAAGACACATCCTAATTCAAATTCTCAGATAACAGAGAATTCATTCGATGGAAAATCACCAAGATCCACCTCCCCAACCATTAGCTCCACAGATCATCTTTGTCCAACTCCCCCCCCCCCCCC